CAATAAATAGAGCAATAGAAATTAGAATAAAATATAATTTTCATTAATAGAACAAGAAATTGACAACACTAATCTATACTACTGTTGACAAAGCTTATCTTTGAAAGGCTTATTTACACAGATGTCAAGAGGTTGACATATGCTAATAAGACCCCTGAGAATAACAGCTAGATCTGTATTACTTAAATGCAATGCAAACTTAATTCGCTTTGAAATATGTGCTGAAAAAGAATTTAAGACAAGCATTGTTTTTGAATGAGGTCCCTCTGGTCACATTCTATTCCAATATTTTATTCATCGTTCCATTCTTAACTCATCTATCTATCCTTTGTCTTGAAACCAAACAATTACACCAACTGGAGGAGGGGGTGTATTAGCAGGCCAAATCTTTCCTTTGAAAATAATGACTGGGGGGAGCTTAGTGCTATCAGCAAGGCATGTTAATACTATAGTAAATTGTTTTTTGTTATTTTCTGTTGACTGAACATAAACTGTTTTCATGCCTCTTGGATTTACAGTCAAGTTACCTATCATATTAAACCAAACCAGTGTCTCATCCATATTTGCAATCATACCAAGAGAATAATTATTTTTCTGGCAGAGGCAAATAACAAGCTGTTGAAACTTTAATAGCTTATTCTCGAGGTCATCAGGCAACTTTTGCATAATATTAGTCTTGTGGCGAAGAGAAAGGTCGTAACATTTTAAAAAATGACCAAGCCAATGCTGTAAAAACTTAAAATTAGCAATTGCTAACTTCTCTGCCTCATCTTGAGCTAGTCTTGCACTTGATCTCATAATTTCAACCATTTTTGTTTTAATATTAGAATGATTAACTGCAAAACTATCTTTACGAAGCTCCATTATCCATTCATAGAGTTGGGCTTCTTCTTTAGGAAACAATGCATGATGTCTAGAACCAACCCTTCGGAAACTCTTTTGAAGAGGGGGGTCTTGTGAAAATTGTTTAACCCACTGACCAACTATTGTTAAATCAAGAGAATAGCAGTGAGCAGCAAATTTATTTGAAGTATAGCATGCCAATTCTATAACTTTACTTTTTTTTTGACTGTGTAAGAGTTTTGTTGCCTTTTCATATTTACTATAGTAAGGTCACACAAATAAAATTAATTGGTTTTTGTAGCCTGAACGGGTTGTAAATTTTATGTAGAGTTTTTTTCTTTTTTTTTTTTTTAAAAAAAAAAAAAACTATGAAATGAACCTTTCTTTAAATAACAAGCAACAAAATGTTACAGAATTAATTAAATTACAGCTTATCATTATCATTATAAAAATTTTGATTATGCAAAATATGAATTTTAAAGTTAAATTCTTCAACAGAATGTTGCATGATCAATTAAAGTTATAGCTTATCATCATCATTATGGAAATTTGGCAAAATTTAAAGTTTAAGTAAGTTTAAACAAGTTTAAACAAGGTAACTTCTTGAGAAAAAAATAATTGTTACTCTCAAGGTTGCTTACCATGGTAAATTACCAGTAAGTTACCACAGTATGGTAAGTTATTGTAAAATATAAATAAAAATGCAAGTGATATCGGTAGCTTACTATTTTAGTAACTTATCACTAAAAATTATAAATTATGTACTATCCTTCAATTCCAACTTGCAGGTGTATTTTTTTGGTAAAATTAACTTGGTGTATGATTGTTGTTGAGATGTAAAACACTGACTACGTATTATTTATATTACGCATAACGATAATAAAATGATAATGCTTATTAATTAAGGATCCAGGCACACTTTTTAAGAATTTAACACATGAATACTGCAAAATAAATATTTAAGTTTTTACTGCAGCAAACCTACATAGCCCCTAAAGAATCAGCTATACGTATTAGATATCAATATTCTATTGTTGTTAAAGCATATATAATAAATTATGAATACCCATAGATAACTCACTATACACAGCAAAAACTCATTTAACCTTTAAAAGATAGTAAACATGAGGATCTTTAATGCTAAAGTTTGTATTCCCAAAATAAGCTACTTCGTTAAACTAAATTACTTTTAAAAACTATAAATCCTAAAAATAAGCTATCTTTTGTGTTATATTTAAGTTATTTTAAAAGCTATAATTCCTAAAAATAAGCTACTTACCATTTCTTGTATTCAAAATCTCCTAAAAAAAGGTAGCTTAATTTTGGAAAAATACAGTAATCAACTCAGAAATAAACACTTTCTGATATTTACAAATCTAAATGCTGCCAATCTAACAAGTCTACTAGCCTTTCATAATATCCAAATACCAACATGGCATGGCCTAACTTCTGCTAGCCAAATCAATAATTTTTGGATCTTATTGGATATATTACTAGCATTTAAACCTTTATTTCTAATTAATGCTTCTTACATCTTAGACAGTGATTATTGCATCTTAAATATAACTTGGTATACAAACTTCTTATTACAAAAAAACTCTAAAAACAAAAGGAAAAATATATCTGTTTGAGAAAATGATACCAGAGGACTAAAAAAACTTTAAAAATTCACTCAATAACTGTTTCAATCTACAAAATATTCCAATATCAAACATGAACAAAAATAATATAAACAAAATATAAAACTTTTGGACAGTAAAAATTAAAGAAAAAATAAATGAACATATTCTATATATTCTTATTGCTTCTAAACTATTCTTTGCACTTTCACTAAAAGCAATCAAACTGCATTCTGTTCTAAAAAATATTAACAAATATTTATACTACCTTTTAAATAACTTATTAAATAATAACTATACCTTCCAACAAATACAGCAAACTAGATACTACAAAAGATTACATATAAATTATACATACTTATATTTATATGAAATAGCAGATCAATTACATTTACATTCTAATATCTGTCTACTAATTGGACAAACTATTAGAAAAATCAATATATGGTTAATACTCTGGATTAATTATAGCACATCTTACAACTACATTTTAATATTACAAATCTAGGTAGGCCTGACCATCATAGTTGGTTTAGGTTACAGATAAAACTGTCTAAGCTTTAATTCTTGCATATAATTTTTATTTTGTAGTTTACAATCTTAGTATATCTTAGTATATAGTATATTAATATGTACAACTAAAATTACTAATAAAGATATAAACAAGGCCTCACCTTAATACCAAAAAAAAAAAAAAACTCATTAAATAACTTAACTAGAATAAACTATTATCTATTAAAGGCAGCTACTTTTGCAGAAATAGATATTCTACTAATCATATAAGCACAATTAAATCTTCTTCTATTTGATCTTATAACACAAATAAAGCAATACAAGCACACAATATAGCAAGCATAAAATTTTTTAAAAAAATAAGAACAAAGTAAAAAAATTAAGTTTTACACAAATCAAGATATTTAAACTTTAAAAATAATACTAGTTATATGCTAGATAGTATTCTTAAAAGAAGAGCAAAACCAGTAAACTTTAAAAAAATTATATTTTTTAACAAAATAATTACTAACAAGAATGAAATCAAAGAAGTCACATGCCTACACTTTTAAAACTAGACCAAAAAAAATCTATTTAATAATACTATTTAGAAGAATTAACAAACAATTTACTTAACAATATTAAAAGCAACATCTATAACAACCTTCTGTATCTGATTATTCTAGCTAAACTTGAACAAACTATAAAAGAAGCTCCTAAAAGTAAAGCAACAGAACCATTAGGAATTGCAAATGAGGTTCTTCAATGTTTATTATTATTAGCCCTTCTATTACTATTAGAAATATTCAACAAATGCTTAATACAAGAATGCATCTCTGATCAGTGATTACAAGCTAACATTTGGCCAATTTCAAAAAAACAACATTATAACTATGAACTTAACTTCATGTGACTAATAATATTAATTGATTATATTAGAAAATTTTTACAAAAATTCTAACAACCAGATTAACAAATATTTTAGTTCAAAACCAAGTATTCTCTTTACTCAATTTTGCAGCTTTTTTTCATCAATTTATATTACAACTAATCTTCCAACTTAGTCAAATTTTGGAGGATGCAATTACAAATAAGAAAGAAATCTGGATTCTCTTGCAAGATATGTTAAAAGCCTTTGACTTAATTTACATATTTACCTTATGCAAAGCACTTAAAAGAATTCATATATCAGACAAAGTTATAAACTTGCTTTCACACTGAACCAACAAAGTAACTATAAGTTTAAGTCTAACTGTACTATACTTAGTTGAAGATGATATTGATCAAAAAGAGACTTTTTCACCTCTTTTTTGAAAAATATACTATAATTTACTAATCTCAAAAATACACAAAGAATATTTAGAGGGGTGTGGCGACCTAGTGAAGTGGATAGGTTGTCAACCCCCAAGTGGCAGGTCTAGAGTTCAAATCCCAGTGACA